GAACATCTCCATCCCACCTCCAGTCCCAGCCCAGCCACCTCCACCTCCCAACCCACCACAGCAGACATCTCTGTCCCTACCCCTGGAGCTCATCTCAGGCCAGGAGGCCAAGGAGGGTGACATCCCCCAACTTGCCACCAAACCCAAAGTGTCTCCATCTCCCTGCTCCTCCCACCAGGACCTGCTCGCCGACCACAACATCCCACTACTCTGAAGGTGCTGCACGAGGTCAGGAGCCCCTCCAAGGCTCCTCCAAGGTCCTCAGGGCCCTTGGTGATGTCCCCAAGACCCAGGTACTCAACTCAGCATCCTCCACGGCCACCGGGCACTTGTACTGGGCCGTGTTGAAGAGGCAGATGTCCGCGTACTGGCGCACTGGGGGGAGGACACGTGGGGGTCAGAGAAGGTCCCCGTGGGCAGCAGCTGGGAGGGCACCAGGCCACGCTCCTCACCTGAGATCTTGATCTTCTTCACCGTCTTGTTGGTGTTGTTGGTGACGTGGACGTTGACGCTGATGGGCTCCCCGTGGTAGTAGATCTGCAGGGAGGGGCTGGGTGAGGTCCCCGTGCCCACCAGGGTCACCCCACCAAGGTCCCCACCCAAGCCCTTGCCCACCTCCTTGTCCAGGGATGCCTCGAGGTGCAGGGGTTTGTCTGACATGAGGAACTGGCGGGTGGTCTCTGCCATGGGCTGGGGGCCGGGCCGTTCGGGCGCGTATTGGACCTTCCGGATCACCAGGCGCACCGAGTTCCTGCAGGAGATGAGGAGGAGAACCCAACTGTCCCCCTGGCTGCTCCTGCTTGGCCTCTTCTGGGTCAAATCCCTCTTCTAGGTCACGCCAGGCTGCCTGCACAGCCCCCTTGCCCAGGGGTCTCCAGCCTGAACCCACGTCTCACCCACCCCTACCCTGGAAAGCACCTGCATCCCAGTCCTGGAGAGCATCTTCACCCCAGTCCCAGCCTGGAGAACATCTCTGTCCCTGCCCCAGGGCTCATCTGTGTCCCAGCCCAAGCCTGGAGGACATCTCCATCCCACACCCAGCCCAGGGGATGTTTCTGTCCCAGCCCCAGCCTGCAGATCATCTTCATCCCAGCTCCAGTCTGGAGGGCCAGCCTGGAGAACATCTCCATCCCATCTCCATCCCAGTGAACATCAACCCCACTCCAGCCCCAACCCAGCAAACGTGTCTGTCCCAGCCCCACTGTGGAGGACACCTCCCTTTCAGCCCCACTGTGGAGGACACCTCCCTTTCAGCCCCACTGTGGAGGACACCTCCCTTTCAGCCCCACTGTGGAGGACACCTCCCTTCCAGCTCCACCTTGGAGGACACCTCCCTTCCAGCTCCACCTTGGAGGACACCTCCCTTCCAGCTCCACCTTGGAGGACACCTCCCTTCCAGCTCCACCTTGGAGGACACCTCCCTTCCAGCTCCACCTTGGAGGACACCTCCCTTCCAGCTCCACCTTGGAGGACACCTCCCTTCCAGCTCCACCTTGGAGGACACCTCCCTTCCAGCTCCACCTTGGAGGACACCTCCCTTCCAGCTCCACCTTGGAGGACACCTCCCTTCCAGCTCCACCTTGGAGGACACCTCCCTTCCAGCTCCACCTTGGAGGACACCTCCCTTCCAGCTCCACCTTGGAGGACACCTCCCTTCCAGCTCCACCTTGGAGGACACCTCCCTTCCAGCTCCACCTTGGAGGACACCTCCCTTCCAGCTCCACCTTGGAGGACACCTCCCTTCCAGCTCCACCTTGGAGGACACCTCCCTTCCAGCTCCACCTTGGAGGACACCTCCCTTCCAGCTCCACCTTGGAGGACACCTCCCTTCCAGCTCCACCTTGGAGGACACCTCCCTTCCAGCTCCACCTTGGAGGACACCTCCCTTCCAGCTCCACCTTGGAGGACACCTCCCTTCCAGCTCCACCTTGGAGGACACCTCCCTTCCAGCTCCACCTTGGAGGACACCTCCCTTCCAGCTCCACCTTGGAGGACACCTCCCTTCCAGCTCCACCTTGGAGGACACCTCCCTTCCAGCTCCACCTTGGAGGACACCTCCCTTCCAGCTCCACCTTGGAGGACACCTCCCTTCCAGCTCCACCTTGGAGGACACCTCCCTTTCAGCCCCACCTTGGAGGACACCTCCCTTCCAGCTCCACCTTGGAGGACACCTCCCTTCCAGCTCCACCTTGGAGGACACCTCCCTTCCAGCTCCACCTTGGAGGACACCTCCCTTCCAGCTCCACCTTGGAGGACACCTCCATCCCATCCCCATCTCACCACCCATGGGTCAGGGTGTCCGTTTCCCACCCTTGAGGATGCTGCTCCCACCCAGGCTGGTCACCTCCTTCTCCACCCACCTCTTGTGGATCTTCTCCTCCAGGTTCTCTGCACAGAAAGCTTTGACCTCGTAGTCCACGCCACAAGCCTGGAGACCAGGAGGGGTCAGAGGAGGAGGCAGAGGAACCCCTTTGCACCCCAACAAGAGGTGACCCCACCCAACCACTGGGCACCACCACTGAGATGGGGGGATCTCACCTTCCCCGTGTCCTCCGGGCCCGGCTGCAACGTGACGGAGCAGGGCAGGTTGGGGGGGATCTGGAGGGGACAAGGTGGTGGGGTGGGTTAGGAGAGGGACCACATTCCAACCCAAACCCCCTCCTGGATCCAACCCCAGCAGCAGATCCACCTCCCCAGGCCCTGGGGGGTTGAAAACAACTCGGGGTTTGGGGCTGGTTTTTGGGTTTCAGGTGGTTTGGCAGGTGCTGGGGAACGTTCATGAGGCTCAAGGCTGGAAAATGTCACCAGGTCACCCCCAGCTCTGGGGTTGGTGGTTCCCATCACCAAAACTGAGCAGGGGAAACTGGGGGAACTGGGAGCACAAAATGGGGGGAGTGGGGAGTGTCCAACCCCCCCCC